CACACACACACACACACACACACACACACACACACACACACACACACACTCACACGCAAACACGCACTCCTATATATATATGTATCCATGAGAATGGAAACGCGGTATTGATATATATTTATAGACGTATTGTGTTGTACGCAGCACACACGCGTGGTAACGCATAAGAGTTCACAGGGGTTCATCCCGATAGGTCGTTCAACCCGACACTATACGGTTCACTGCCGTTGTCGATGATCGCTCCGAGAAGGCGGAAAACAAAACACGAAAACCGCTTAGTCTTCCGACGTATGACCCCTCGGAAGACGGCACGTAGAAGTGTGTGCGCGCGCTACGTGTGTTAGAAAGCCCATTGCGATTACGAATGTTACCACTGAAAACCCGGTCGGAAGCGACGGCGGCGACGCAGGTGCAGGAACAGAACGCGATACAGAGACGATGGCGGTGATGGGAAACGAAGAACGAAGAAACGTCGAACGACAGGTGTAAAAAACGGGCGACGGGGAAAGGATCGACAAGGATCGGGGACTGCGCGTCACCATTTTGGTCACCATTGTCCGCGCGGTGCGGCGTAACCCTACATAGAGGGGTCCCGTCTCTCGCGGTCCAGACACCGGCGGCGACCGACGACGACGGCGGCGGCGACGACGACTACTACCAGACGGCGGCTTGCCAGCGTACGCCTCTCTCCTCAGTCGTGTCCGAACACCAGCTCGACAGCACCGACTCCTCCGACTGGCGGCTGCCCTCCGGTTGTCCGTACGGCTTCGCGTCCCGTCGTGTCCCGTCACGTCCCGTCGCCGTCGCAACCACCGCGCGGTCGCGCGCACGTTCCTCTTCTCTCCGGGCCGACCCGCATGCGACCGATCGGATACGACCGTCCAACCGACACCGCAGCCGTCGCCGCAACAATTATTGCTATCCGTCGTACCAATACGTTTTGAATGAAGAACGTACGTCAAGACGTCGTATCTCGTTACCAGAGATCGCTCCAAGTTACAGGTAATGACGCGTCAGCTGTATGTGAACACGTCTTGTCGGGGGGGACTGGGCTCGGCAGCGCCGCGGATATATCGGCGACAACGTCGCGTAGGTGAATCGCGTTTAATGTTGTACGGATTGTTATTAATATTTATTTGTTTCTTTTTTTTTTTTTTTTTTACGGCTGAAATATTACAATAGTTAACGTTACACTGTTCGTTTTGGCCTACATTCGCGTTACGATTACAAACTCCCCATATGGGGGGGGAGCAAAATCAGTTCTCCCTCGGTCGTTCGGTACCCGAATGGAATAACTGTAACGTCCAACCCCGTACCGAGACGGTAGAGGTACACGTGTTGTGCACGGTACTATATTTATTTACGTACGTTAAAGAGTAAAAACGGTCAGGTGCCACCGATTGCGACGATGCTGTGTAACTCGCTCGCCGATTCACCGTCGTTGTAATAATAACGCGATCTAACACGTGTACTCGGACGTTACAACTGGTCGAGAATAATTGGGTTTTTAGAGCAAGCGCGCGAGCCGGCATACATCAGCATTGCTTCCAGATTATCTGTGTTGCGGTACCCGTCGGCGGAATAATAATCGCTGAAAATGCATCTCCTCGCACACGTGGCCGCCGCTACCGATGCGTCAGCAGATTAAACGGATTCGCTCCGATTCGAGACGGTCTTATTGTATTATTGTCGTTCCCGTTCCATCCGATTTCTGTATTATTATTGTTATCGTCGTGCGATGCCTGCGATATCAACCGGTGTGTCACACACGGTCATGCGAGTACCGAATATGCATCCAACAACGTTCAGGTAGACGCTGTGAAATTCACCCTCGGAACGACTGAAGGTTGATTAGACGATTTTCGTTCCCAGGACGCACACACACACACACACACACACACACATACCCGACGACGACGGGTTTCTCAACTTGTCTACATTATCATCTGCAACGACAGACATTGTCCACCACCATTTGTAATGATTTCTATACACAAAACGAATTGTAATAATTATTGTTCAATTCAAAAATACACGAAATGTATTTTACAAATATTATTGTAGTATCATCAACATGGTTCTATGCACGCAAATCAATTCAGTACTTATGGTTGAGATAATATAGAAATACCTACTGGATTGTAAATGCTTAACAATTTTCTTTTATACCATTTCTGTAGAATTTATGGTAATATTTTATTTTACATAAATATCAGAATAAGACATGGTAAACAATTACAATAATAATTATAAATATTAATATAGATATAGAATAATTATAATTAATAAAACTTATACTCTGTCATATGACATTTTTGTCTCATTTATAGTGTTATGATTAATTTCAATATGTATTATTACCCAATTTCGTGAATCCATAAATGTCTATGAACATTTTTAGAATTTCTTTCAAACTTATTTTATAACTTTTAATTGCAGATACATTAAAAAAAAAAATCCATGCCATCATGTAAATTAGCATAAGATTCTAATTATGATGTCTAGAAATATGTAGAAAATAATTATGGAAATGATAGTTATTATTTTAAATAAACCTACTGAAATAGAGAAATTGTTTCAATTCTATAATATAATGCATAGGGGTGGTTAAAATTGTTTTCAGCAGTATTATTAATTTTATATTTATAATAAGAATTAGGTATTATTTTAACAATAAAATAAGTTACTGAATATTCACTGCACACCTAAAACATTTTATTGTTCAAATCTAATGCGTTTAAAAATTAAATATCTTCTGAAATTAAAACTGATAAGGTATGACTTACGAAGAAAATTCATTTTTTGCTTCAATACAAAAATATTATGAAATGAAAGTATTATATTATACATACTTTAATTAATATATATTATATTTTATGCATTGTACGTCAATTAGATTATAGTAATTTAAATAATTTAAGATTATAATAAATAAAATAATAACATTTAAATATAGTCTTTTAAAGATACGGTAAAAGTTTTTCAACCAATAACAAATATTATTCAAAAAATTAACGGACATTAGTAGGTATTTCTGCAATTAATTTTTACCATAAGTGCTGGATAGAAAAAACTTGTTTATTATGTTTAATACAACCACTGATGACCATCAAATTTCCAAAATACGTATCTGCTATTTCTTTTGCACGTTATTATTTTAAAACTAAATCTTACCAATATTTCCATTATTTACCTTATCAAACTACTCATATAATAAAAGGTATAGGTATAGTAAAATTAAGTGTAAAACTATGTTTTCATCCTGTTTATAATGATGTCAGTATTATTATTATTATTATTATTATATTAGTATTATAAGAAAAATTACAATATAATAAAGCAATGGAGGTTATTTCAATTAATTAACTATAAACTAAAATAGTTATGTTCAAGTTCTCAATGGAAAACAAAGATAACGGGAGTACGCATTTGCGTTATTGTTTAGAGAGTTTAAAAATATAATTGAAATAAATGAAAACATAATATCATATACCTAATAATAAAACCATAATACATTTAACATGCATAAAAGATTATGATATTTATATCAGCAGATAAATTCGGCGTTTTTAATAATTTGATATTTAGTTTACATATGCAGTAATGCCTAATACTAACACATAAAAATCGTCAATTAACACTGATAAATAATAACAATATGTTACGAACCGCTTTACATTTTTGTCCTCTTTATACCAATTTCAATTTACTGATTGTTAAAGAACCTTTTAATGATAGTAGAAATTTTTATTTTCTCTGTTGTAAAAAAAAGGAAGGGAGGAAGGAAGGGAACAACCTCAACCAAACTTATGCTCCACCCATGTCTACGCCCCTGCATTATAATATAATACTTTATTTGAAATAATGGATGATTTTCTATTCAGATTTTTCTAAACATTTTATGACTTGTGTGTGTCGTAAAATGTTTAATTTCATAATAACCATGTCGATTTCAATAATTTCCTTCCTTTCACTCAATTTGTTCAAGAAAATGTTTTTGATTCCTTGGCTATAAACAACTATAGTGATTTTAATTTTAAGCCCGCAACCTAATTAATTGACAAAATTAAATACTTAATTTACGAACTATAATTTTTATACTTAAATTATTCAATAAATATAATTTTTACTATTAATATTTAATGGATGATTATACTAATAAAACACGTTAACACAATATTTTTTAAGTTTTGGAATGGATCTCCGATTTATTTATATCGAATATAATATTAAAATATGATTTGTTTGAAATTTTTTTCTCAAAAAGTATGGGATCCTATGTACTCGTATATTACATGTGTATAATAATTTAATTCATTTTAAATATGAATTAATATTTTTAATTTAATAAATATATTATAATAATAAATATTAGAATAATGATAATAAAGTTATAGAAATTAAATAAATGTATAATAAAACTGTAAACTTTTCCGAATTTATTTTTATTTAAATTCACATTAAAAACTTATTGTTAATAAATTATATGTGAACTTTAAATTATTTTAAATGAAATGTCCATTACGTATACTGAAACATAAAACATTTAACTATACTATTTTAAATGTGTTTACTTTGTTTATAATACATATACTCGTATTATACAAGAGTCGAGAAACATACTAGCAATTACAAACAAAATTATAAGTTCCCTTAACTGTCTATAAACTATTTTTACCTCTAGAAATGTTTAAAAGTGCATTTAGAAATAAACGTTTGAAAAAATGTTTTATAAATAACTCAATTTATATCAATAAGCATGACATTATGCATTCGCACGCATATACGATAGACACAACTGCACTTGTATAACATAATCAGCAATTTTCTTTTAGGGTGGTTGATATGTTGATCGTGCAATAGCTCAACCGAACTACAACCGACCACGCACTTAAAATATTTAATAAATATCTCCTGATAAGTGATAATATATATGGTTATATTATAATTGAAAAAATAATTTTAATATTGACCTTTAACTATACTTAATATACATTATTCACTAGCGATGACTTAATATATAATTCAAGTTAATATCCTTAGTAAAAATAACTATATAACGACTATTAACAAATTTTAAAATTTTATTTTTTTGATATTATAATTAAGTTAGATTACAAAACATTTAATTATTCAAAATGCTGTATCAATCATAAAGACATTTTTATTGAAATTATATGTCAGTTGTCTTAACCTGACTCTGTATTATGTATATCTTTGGCATTAACTTGTTTTCAACTGCTACTGTTATTTATAAAATCAAAAAAAAAAATCAATAGGTTCTATTTTACGATTAAAAATTATTAATATATTATAAATTGTATTAATGTATTTAAATATTACAATTTTATTCGAAAACTTATAATATCTATCACAAATTATGTAACAAATATTACGTAATGCAATTCTTATAATTATTTTTATTGAATACTTATATCACATTATTGAAAACAAGAAATTAGATTATCTGCCTATAAATTATACTCGTATACCCAACTTTATACATACTTAGTATTTATTTTGAATATTTGAGTATAAAACCAATTTTTAATCAAATCGAAGGCAAATAAATTATTAGATCCTGTAATGCATGCAGTGCCGGATTACCCATTAAATGGAGCAGGCGCCCGCCTTAGAGTCTCACTCATTTTAAGGGCCCTGTGAAAACGGAAAACTATATTTTCATTTAATTAATAATACCTATTGTCCATTTATGAATTTACGGGACAAAAGTCATTATGAAATAAAATATATATTTAGTTGTAGATGCTGTATGCAGTAATAATATTAAAATTATTTTGAAAAAAAATAGAAATAATATAATTGTTAATTAATTTTTCTTGCAGATAAAAAAAGTTAACAAACATGATTTTATTTATAAATAATATTTAATTATTATTAAAGCTGTTTATTTTAATTATGAGATAGTTATGTTAAAGATGTATGTAAAAAATAATTCTGAAGGTCCCAAAATTTTAATTACCTAGGGCAGCGATTCTCAACCGGGTGGTCGCGACCCTCTTGGGGGTCTCCAACAACTTTTTTAGGATCACATAATATGAAAAAAAAATTATTTCAAATCAACAACAGCAAAAGAGTCATTAAATTAACAAAATATTAAAATTTACATAATTTTTATTTTTTTCCCCATTAATTAACGCCAATCGGCTTTTATAATATACTTTTTTTTTGTAAAATATATACACAAATAAATACAATAAAAACAGTTTGTAAAATTTTTCAATGCTTACATTATAAAAGGGTCGTTAGATATATTGGTAACATTATCGGGGGGGTCGCGAACTCAAAAAAGTTGAGAACCGGCTGATCTAGGAGCTCACAAATATTTAATCCGGCACTGAATGCAAGTGTATTACATTATCAAATAATATAATTTTAAGTATAAGCATACACCATAAAATATGTTAAATAGCGTAGTAGTATACAATTTTTAGCATTAAGAGAATGGAATAGAAATTATATCTATAAATGTGTGATATTTAGTATGAACAAACTTTTACATATTATTTTGTTTCGGGTCAAATATCTGTATATCAGTCTTCCAAAGAAAAATAATAAAAGGAATAAAAATATCGCAGTACGCACAAATAAAATTATATTTGTTTTGTAGGAAATGTGAAATGAAACCTTCGATTAAAAAAAAGTCGTCACAACCCTATCTTGATAATATTGCCTGTTGGTGTTTAGTAGTAACCGTTGATTGTATGTAATTATGTTTCAACATATATTTAAAATGTAAATTGTTGTGTTTAAATGTTGTAAATGTGATCCTTTTAATGGTGTTTATGGTTTACTAGTTTTTGTACGCCATGTAGTGCACTGCAGTGCTGACCTTCAAATACGAATTTTCTGTTACCTACGCCATAATACCTAATGGATTTTCAGATCGAACCGTGTAACCTTGCATTTCAAAACAATACAGACAAAATATCATACTTGAAATATTATTCATCGACATAGTACGAGTTTTCGCAAACATGAAATAAAATTATTTTTTGGATATATTTATATTATGATACTACGTGCTTGTCAATAATATTAACTGACGATGGTATGAATATTTTGAATAAAAAAATCTTGATTGAATATTTGACCTTGTTATAAATGATAATGGTTTTTGGAAATTAGAACCAGTCATTCAAATTTTAATACTAACATCATAATACATAATCAATTAATCACACGGTGGATCACTTATTTTTAATGAATATTTTACGAAAATTTATATTTTTAACTATTTTTTCGACGAATCTAGTACCTTGACTTTTTTTTAGCTTATTGAAATAACCTGACCTAATGTATATTTATTTAAAATGTACACTTGTTAATATCAACGGCATTTGAACTAAAATTATCATTCAACAAATATTTTTCAATATCGCAGATTAATAAACCACATGAATGTTATACATACACGAACTTTCATATTAAATGAATAAACAATAATTGGTATTTTAATGATAAAAACCTTAAAACCCTTTAAATTATTAATAAATTTGTTACAATTATTTTCGAAAGTAATAGATTGACAGAACGATTTGGATTCAAGTTGTATATTACACATAGTATAAAAGTTGCTAATAAATGTAGTTAATCTCAAACACAACGTTTATTGAGTTTTTAGAAAGTCTTTGTTCTTAAAATGTTTTGAACAGCTGAATAAGTATAATTTAATTTGAATACTTTATTATTAATATTATAATTAGGCACAAGTTGATGAGATATAATAAAAACATTTAAAGTTACTTTTTGAAACATTAAAATAATAACATCATACGTATTATATCATACCTACTCGTATTGTATTAATTTTATTACATCCTATAGCTATATCAGTGCATTTTTTAACTAATTAACTAGGCGACACAAATGTCGCCCAGTGAATATACTCTGTCGACAGTATTTTAAAAGATTAGGCAAAATAATGGGAAACAAACGTGTAATACTATAATCGTACTATGGTATTATACATTGACTATTTTGAGAGAAACATTTTTTGTCGCCCAGTGAAAATTCCTTATAAAATGCACTGAGCTATACAAATTACAAATACGAATATTTATAAATATTAGTAATTTTTTTTTAATAACTTTTAACTAAACATTTCCATCCTTTTATGTGATCTTTTTTTAATCAAGCAAATTCTTAAAAATTATAATATGTCTCTTGTTCTTAATGTGTGTTTAAATATTATTATGCGAGCACAGTATGATATTACTATTATATTAGGGAAGGCGAACGCAGGAAAATATTTCTTGGGGTAGAGGTTTGAAATTATGTAAAATGTAAAATGTTGATAAATAGCATGTTTTATAATCTATTATATAATATATATAAATTTTATTTGTAAGTCTCATGTAAAAATTTTTAAAAACTATTAGATTTGTAGATCCGGTAATTTCTTTATAACATTTTTTCTGATATGTCGGGGGAGGGTTGAACATCTAATCCTACCCTCCGAGTTTGCGCCTGTATTTTATACATGCTATAATCATCAAATAAAAATATATAATAATATCTTTGGGTATTCCAATACAGTCCCTGATTTATAGCCTCGAGAAACAGACTTGCAGCAGTTGATAGGTTAGATTATTGCAAACGTTGCTGTATATTTTACAAATTTACAATTATACATTAAAACGCAGTTTAAAAAGAATCTACTTAAAGTTACTGTTAGAATTATAATTTTAAATGATAACTATTAGTTACACTACCTACGATATTTAAATAATAATAAAATACATTTTTTATCATCGTTATACCGATATTACCAAGTTCCGTGAATATTTTTTCAACTTACATAAAATTAAAATATTTTTTTATTAAAAAGTACTTTTCAAATGGTTAAATGATTTTTTATGATCTATAGGTATTGGATAACCCACATTTCAATGATATTTCAAATATATTTAATTATATAAAAATACATAATTTTAATTCGATATTAGATGTTTCAGTTAGGTACTATATAAAATTAAATTATTTATTAAATTGCAGATCCTATAATTCTTGAATAACACTTTAAGGTCAATAGTTGTTCACTTGAAAAATCATATTTGCATTACTTAATTATTTTAAGACTTCACAAAAACTTATAAAATACACGATAGGTATTTATTTAAAACAGTTTACATAAAATAAAATAAATATATCCTTAAATGATTTTTATACATTTTTTCACTTTTAAATTCTAAACATTGAACAATCAAAAAAAAAATAAATAAATGAAATCAAACATTGACCTTAAAGTTTTATTTATGCATAGATTTATTTGAATTCGATGACCTACATATCATATTTGGATCTATCTTAAGATGAATAAATTATACCACATATAAGTTTAATTTATAAAAATAATGTTATTGCTTAAACTATTTAAAGTTAAATACCTCCCTCAACACTTCAATTCGATAGGGAACAGTGCTAGGCTTGGCAAAATTAAAGAAATGAGACTCTGTTTGCTTTTTTTAAAAAAAGTGTCTCCAAAACTTGTTAAGCGTTATAATTATAATGTCTCTCAAGTCGAGCACTGATAGGGAATACTGGAAATATAACCGATTTCTATATTGAAAGTGAACTTTAAAAATTCTAATTATTCGTACCAGGTATTTATAAATATTAAGCAATCAATTATCAGTTAATTTTTAAAATTTAATTGTTTATTTAAATTATTAATATTATCTTATTGATTTTCAAATTAAATGTATTGGTTTTCGAATACATTTAGATATTAATTTTATCATTCCGATTCAATGACACACGCACTTGACAACAAGATATACTTAATTTAGTTCACATCAACGTTATTGTAATGTGCGTTAAGTGTAATTTTGTTACAAATGGTACATATAGATCATTTTAAATTAAATCACTGCAAACATTTTTTTCCTAGTAAAATGTTAATGAGTAATTAGTTGTATAAACATAAGATTTAGTATATATTAAGTATGCACAGTACAGGTATGACTTGTATACACGTGCGTAAGTACTCGTATAGTGTATGCGTAGATAACGAGCTCATCTATGTGCAATACATTTTAGTAAGAAATAGTGTGCTCGTCACATGCAAATTAAAGCCGCTCTCTCGAAAACAAAAAAAAAAACATAGCACATTATAGGTTCGTATATAAGTATGAATACATATATATATACACAATATAATCATCATAGAAGTTTATTCATCAGTCCGCCAATATAAAAGTCCAATGCCGAACACAATATCACTCAGTAGTGCGCCAGTTAACGCGAAACAACGACCGCCCGTCGACACACGTGCTCTAAATATTTTTTGTTAACTATATTATTATAATAATTTTTGTTTTTTTTTTTACTGTCTGTGTCTGAACCCACCATCTACGATTCGCGAAATCTCAGCACAAACAGTTATCATCGCTTATGTATGGTTTATTCCAGACCAAATTTACACAAACAGCTGCCTTGTGAAGTTATGTACAGAGCTCTCTACTTTTTATTCTGTCGGGATTCTGGTAAGCAATCTTTTATTGCATTAAAAAATTATTTTTAGATTTAAATAATTTCTATAGTCTATTACGTGTTGATATTTTTTGATTATGAAATATTAATTTCGAAACGTAACAAGAGGGAAAACATTTTTTTCACTATTAATCACTCTTAACTGTTAGACAATAGCAAGTGCAATATTTTAGTATTAGGTTTACGTAAATAGTTTCGAATCGATATTTCTAACTAGTTGTGATTATAATCGACAACTTATAAAGTTATAAGTAGTATAAAACTATTGAGAAATACCGTTTTAAATTATTAATAACTATAATTAATATACAATATTTTTCATAACACGTATGAATAAAATATGTTTAAGAATAAAAACATCTATGGTATAAATTTGATTTTAGGATTTGAACGAGATATTGCGTTATTTATTTGGAGTATTAAAATACAACCCATTTATAATACTATTTTCAATTCTAAGGTGAAAGGAAATATATTGTTAGGTGTTATTATTACCAACTATTCACGCGCTTTCTTCATGCTGTCTGAAAACAGAAGATTTCATTAGATCATCAAAATTTTAATCTAATATCAGCCAATAAATATCTATTATTTTTAAAATTGAATAATCCTAAATACTCTTAATGTAAAATTACTGTATAAAGAAATCTTGCACAACAAAAAAAAAAGAAATCATTAAATTAAGAACTATTAATATTATGTTAGGATACAATATGTGTTTAAAATAATTGATACTTAATCATGATAAGAATTTATTTAATATATACGTAATACATAACATACCAACATAAATCATAATTTATTATTTTCAATAATATAAAGGATATTTTCACTCGTTAGTTAGAACCTAACTATTATATTTTATATATTTTTAAAAAAAAAAATAAAGATTAAATTGAATTATTATTATAGCTTATATGAATATAATTTCATACTACATATTTCTATTGTAAGATTTAAAGTAAGCAGCTTATATCATATACATTTTCTTGACATACTTTAAAATACGTTACTCTTTGCTATATTTGACGAGTATATACTGAAAGATAAAATACAAATTATTTTTTATATTTTTAGATATTTCTATATTACGCTGTGTTTAGAAAATTATTAAGTATAGGTACTTTAAAAATCTGTAATTGATAAAAATGGTCTTTTAATTTTAATTTTATGTACCTATTCTTCAATGCTTTGAATCATTTAAATTAAATTAATTTATTATTATTAAACTGTAATCCGTATAAATATCTATAAAAAAAATTTTCTTTGAGTATGACCCATTATAAATATGAAAGTACTTGCTCTTTAAAACTATGCATTTACCGATAAATTTGAATAAGTGATTTAAATCATAGGAATCCTCAGGGTATTGAATCTTTATATATTTTTAATAGATTATTATAAATATATCAGTTATAATTTTGTAATCATATTTGTTAACTGTAAATACGTCATAACGGTTAGTACTTTCATTTCTAAGAATTTTTTAATAATGTAATCAGATTCTTTGAAATATATCCTATTTATTAGGAGAATACATGTGATTATTTTTTTATAATTATTTCGTTTAATTTTCAGGTCATTTTAAAACAATATTTATATCTATTTTCAATGGAAAAATACTCTCTAACTGTTCACAACTATTTTCTAAAAAATTACAAAACTATTAAATCTAAATTATTTTAAAATGTAAGCTAAAAAATATACCAGTATCAATTATAAAATAATTTATAAGTCATATACACAGTAACGTATTACTATTTTTTTTCTATTTCTTTAAATAAATGTATATACAGCTTTTTTATGATTTTTCGACGTACTGCAATTGATGCTTGTACAAAAGAAGATAATTACCTAATAAAACTTTTTAGTAAACGATAATCACAGTTTTAAACTTCTAGCAGTATATCCAGGGCCATGGAGAGAGAAACCCCGGCCCAGGGGTATATCTTAAGGTATATCTTATTTTTTTCTGCGGCGTTCATTAAATTCTTATTAATTGTGTTTAATTTTTAATAATTTGTAGTCCCTAATTTTCGAGTTCTCTCAAAAATTCCGGGCCCGAGAGGGATCATCCTTTCCCCCTCCTCGTCATGAGTGTATACAATTATATGATCCGTTTCAACATCAACTATCTTTTTTAGCTACCATTTTTTTTAAAATTTAACAAATAAAACAAAGTTTATCCATAAATGAATATAAGCTATATAGACTATAGTTCAACGATGATTGGAAATTTCAAATGTATAAATTTTTTTCAAGATTATAACCATTTAACATAACAGATAATAATTTGTTATTCTTTGCGTGCAAAATTTTAAATTTCCAATAACATTATAAATACAAGTACAGGTTATTATTTTACGCGTAATATCCTATGACACAAAAAATCAACATAATACATTATACAAATATTTATATATACATTTATGTAATTGTGCGGCCTATGGAATACGAGTTGCAATAGTTTAACAATTGATAATAATTCGATGTATAATAATTTTTCATTTTTTTATGTGTATATTTTTTTTAAATTTATTTTTAGCTTTACGACTATACATATATTATATGTTGTATTTAAACGTTTACCATTATATGTTACTCGTGAGCCGAAAAAATGTGACAATAAATCGCGCAGGAACTAATTTAAATGTAATTGTTTGCGTTTATAGTGTTCGAAATGTGTGGCAACAGGAACTGTGGTAGAAAAAAAGGACATAATAAATAACAAAAACCCGGAAAATTCAAACACGCATATAAGTATATCTGGCAACTACTAATTAGGAATATGATAATGCATCAAATTATTATAGTTAGGCGCTAGAGCTATTTCGTGTCTATAATTATAAGAGTAGATCAGTTGGTGGCATAGTCATAATACATCATTGTAATTTTCTCGATTCAATAGAAGTATATTGTTTAGAGTTTCGTTGAATTTAATTGCAGCGTATAGTTTATACTGTATACATTTTTCGGCACGTGCTGATTGAAAAAAATTGTAATTATAAATTGTAAAAAAAATTTTAAAACAACTAATTTATTCGTTCAATTGTGTGCATGTAATGATACAAATAATTGCGAAACATGTGAAATCGCCATCCTAGAAAAATATAATTTGAATATTATGATAATTATTAGCCGTTAAGTTGTATTATTTTAGTATCTTTTTACTGAGAATTAAATTAATTTTACGATACTGAAATTATACGATTTTGTTGTAAAATTTGGGTCCTTTCGAAGCATTAAAAATGTGTGTATTATTTAAGACCGATGTGAAAAAAAACAATGCTGTTGCAAATGTATGACAAATGTTAAAGAATTTATTCGTTGATTAGCAACTGTCGTCATATATTTAAAATCGAACTAAATTATTATTGTTATTCCAATTAATAGCGACAGCATTTGTGATGTTATACTATGTTAATAAACACCAATTATTAAACGCGAACATATACCAAAAATAAAGCGCATAAGGCGCCCTTTCGTCCTGGAGTAATTAAATAATTAACAGCCATGCCCAGAAGATCTTTAATTCGTTTCTTTACGCCTATATTGTGCACGATTATGACGTGGTAAGTGAAATTCAAACGTTGTACACATTCAGTGCAATGATAATAAGTGATATTTTCAACGCGAGAATTACCTTGAAATTCATATAAGTAATATGATAAAAAAAAAACGTAAGGTCAGAACACATTTTCTTCACACATTTTAATAGTACAATGATGGTATCACATAATTACTTATAAATATACATGATGTACCTATCATATGGTATTAACGAATTTCAGTATGTGAATCAATACAAATAACATTGTTATTTTAATAGTGTTATAATAGTGTTTGTTATAAATTAGTTGTCGACTATGATAAATTCAAGTTCCCTACGTTTTAAAAATATATATCTTTAGCTTACTGTTTAAATTTAAATATATTAAAATATATACCAGAAAGAAATCATAGGAGGGAGCGCAAACGTGTAAAAGTAGTTATCCGAAGGCATAGAATAAAATATTACGTAGGACTTTATGAGGTATAAATATCACTAAAGAATATTCTTAGACTTCTATGAGACACCCTAATCGACATTGAGTATCAATGGTCTCTAGTCAATCTTTCAACGAGCGCGAAATTAAAGTGTCATAAAAAAAATATGATCGTAAATTAGTACTAATCATGCAAATGCTTAATAAAGAAGCATTTAAAAATTGTTGAACAGAATTTAATTTTTATTTCACTCGTACATTAATTACACTATGAACAGCCAACTAGAATTTGCAACATTTAACAAAACTAAAATAAAAAATAAAGTTGATTAGAAATAGCCAACAAATTTTTACTACTTAAACACTGCTAAATAATGAATCAATATTCTATACTTAGTAAATTGCGTGCTAAAAATGTTGTAATCATTGGCATTAATTTGTAAAGAAAGTGGTGCTAGTGCGTAGTATTGATGAAGGTACCTGCAGACACTAATTATGTTGAAATTTTCAAATAATTATAATATAAAATAAAAAACGATAATATTAATTTAACATCAGATGATATAACTATTCTGTGTTATTTGCAAGTTGTTTACACAGTATATGAGCGTTTAAATTATACAAATCGTTGCTGTAAAGTTTTTGATAAAAGTAAACTAAAAAAATTAAAACAATAATAAAATATATACAGATGAACTGTTATATTATAGATATACAATTAATTTATTGAAAAAGAATCATATGATATCGCTACTAAACTTTAAAAGTATAGGTAATTCCGATGTATATGTACAAATAACAATTTTAAACGAGTAAAATAAATAACCGTTTTCAAAAAGAAACGAAAATTGCAAACTAACCAATGGTAATAATTTCAACATTTCGTGAGACGTAAGTTGACAAAATTAATAAGATTTAAATTTCGGTCCATATTAAAAATAACAATTGATCGTCTTTAGCTGTTTGAACTTACTGCATGCTAACTCCACATAAAGGATAAACTACTAGGTATCAAAAACAATATGACTTACGTAATATTTTGAATGCTTGATCGTGTCTTTCTTTTTAACACATAAATTGCGTATTACGAATTTAATAGCGATCATATAATATAAATTGTATCCGTACCTATGTTTGTGTTTAGTGTTAATACGAAACGAAAAGACATTCAGATATTCGAATAAAATTATGTTTATCAAACTATAATATTAACGGTTTTTCGTGAATCAAATAACATAATTATACACTTGAAAGGGGCGCTTACAATTTACATTAATTAATAAAAAAAATGATTATAAGCATACTTTTGTATACCAGCTTGGCATATCTATAAACTAAATGACTATGGTATTAATGAAACTGAATATACACTTAACTTTTACTTTTATGAATATTATAAAACAACAAGCAACACATAATTAAGTATTCTTGGAAATTTTATTATTTCTACGATTATAAAAAATTTTATTTAACTAAGCATCTTCATTTAACTGTAATATTACGAACCTAGCTTATTTTATATATACTAGAGTGAAACTACTGAACATTAAAATTAAAGTTTGACATAAGTTACCAATTAAAATGTAATGATTAATTTATATAATTTAATAGGTAATACAATTTTATTTCGTGTATGTACAATATCCTTTAGCATTCAGAAATAAGAAAGAGAGAATATTTTGAAAAATACAAAAATAATAATATAAAACTAAAACATATCGACCTCGTTAAGGTCATAGACTTTTGGAACAAGAAACTCATCAAGGTCCTTGAGTTTATTACCCAACTGGTGTATTCCATTTTAAAGTATATGAAAAATGCCTTGTTATTTGATACAGATGACTTAGTATGTGATAAGCCATAAACGTGTAATCGTATGATCATTATAAAGTCAATAGTACAACCTATCTCAAATAAAGTCTACGAAAAGAATATAAACACATTTTTTAAATGGTATCTAATATAGGTTATAATTATACAATGTGCGAGTAGAACACACAGAAACAGCTGCACTGAGTGCAGTTTGTTGCGCATCACTAAATTCTAATGAATCCTACGTTTAACATGTGTATTGTATTATTATATATATTAGTATTATTTTATATATTATAATTAATATGGTTATAACTCATAATGCATTTTAATTTCTACTGGTTATTTCTTAAAAAAAAAAACCTATATAACATTAAGTTAATTTAACATTTCTTCAACATCATAAAATATGATTGATAGTCTTAAACTTTTTACTTTTTAGGAGTCATTCAAATATCTTACCAAAGACGGCTGATTCTAGTGATCTAAGATTATAACAGTTGCCGTCCAGATCATTGTCTTATATTTCGATGGGTTGAGACGAACACTTGTAAGTTTCCAGAGCCTGTCAAACCTATCTAATAGTTGGTTCAAAGGCCGAAGGAGACATAACTTGGAAATTGTTGTAGAAGGAGAAAATATATAAATTAGAAATCTTTGTAAAAGACAAATTAATTTACTATAGTTTAATTAAATTCGCGAGGTTTGAACTTAAGCCAAATTGTGAAGAAAAAAATTGGCAAACTTACATATTTTGATTTCCCAAAGAAATTGTCTTTTCTTTGACGTATAGATATTGAAATGTTGAAAGTGGTAGGAGCATCATGGGCTCAGACGCAACTATCGTGGTGTTTGATAATTACAATTACATTCTTGGGTTTGCTAGCATTTTATTTTGGAGGAACAAGCAGGTACACATTTTAAGTTTGTTAAACTATTTTATAAGATCTTAGCATCTACTAATAAATGTATTTCTTCAGAAATGAGTATGATGGTAAATATGCTGCAACAGCGTTTTGGAACAAAGAATTTGGATTACGAATTGATTTTTGTGGTCAAAATAACGACCCACTAATAGTTAGAAAAGGAGTTGCAAGAGCTTATTACAGACCTGATTTAACTCGGAATGGGTAATATATTAAATGCTCCTTATTTGTAACTCCAATATATATATAAATATTTACTTTGAATAATTAAATTTAGATGGGCAGTTTTAGAAGTAGAAACTCAAGCTGAGTACCCAGATCACATACAAGCTAAGGCTGCTGGATACTTAGAAGGAAGTTTGACGTGGCAAATGATTTACTGGCATTGGAAAAACACAGTAGAGAATACATGTGATGGAAGAACAAAATTTTGTGACAGAGTGAGAAAGTATTTGGAGGATAATTCTATCGAAATCAAACGAAAAGCAAAACGGCACGATGAAACAGACCCATTTTGGCACCAAGTAAAAAAAACTTTTAAAAAATGTTTGAATGAAACATTTTAATAGTTTAATTTACGCTTAGGTAAATATGTTTTACACTCAACTAAAAGCACTGGAAGATGGTTGGCGATTTGGTGTAAAGAGAAGCATGCAAGACATTGATATACCATCGATAGATTTCTTGTAAGTACTTTTTTCGTATATTAATAAATATTCATCAACTTTACGATAACTTATTATTTATTACCAGTGTTGAGCCCAGATAAATACTTTTTTATCTAGATAAAGATAAAGATAAAAATGAACATATCCAAAATTATCTATTTAATAGATAAAAGATAAACATAATTTATCTAGATAAAAAGCAGATAAATTTTTAAATAACAAATTAAAATTGTACTAGAAGTCTAGTAAAATTTAACAGACTTATCACATATAAAATATTTATAGCATTTGTTTAAGGCAAACGCTTAATTGTAGTGTAGCTTCTATAATTTAAAAATTATTTTTTTGTTTAAAATAAAAAAAAAACATAGGTACATTTTGCTATCCATTATTTTTATTTTTGAATCTCATAAAAGTTTTTAATTTTATAACTTAAATTGTATATATTCAATTTTATTTTTGATCCCTTTTAACAAAACAATAAAAGAGGCACAAAAAAATATATATATATATTGTTATATAACCTTTATTGCTCAAATTAATAATCATAAAAACATAAAATAATTATTTTATAATAAATTATAAAACAATTAATTATGTATAATGTTTTTCTTACAAGTTTCTTATTTTATATACAGCATACTTTAATGCCAATTACAGTTTACTTAAAAATTATAAATTGACAGTTAATTGTCCTAATAATAATGCACAATAGGTACCCAATATCAAGGAACACTTCAATAGGTACTTTTTAAAGTACTTTATCTATTTAAATTAAAAGGTTTCTTTTAAGTCATTACTTTCAATTATACAATATACATATTACAAACATGCATATTATACTGACGTATAATTCGTTGCACCCATAGGCTGTACATAATAAAGGGATTTATTTTCAATGTAATAATAATTATTTATAGTTATTAATTTCTACGGAGTTCAAGTCGGAATTTGGGCCTTTCCAAGTATCAACCTGACATGGTTGTTGTCGGACGTCTGCGTTTATAAAAACAATATTGGATAATATATTAATGAAATATACTTTAATATTATGTCCATCGTTAGTAAATGAAATATTATTGTTTTCGTATTTGTTGTTCTTGTAATCTTAGTGGTTCAGACACAGTGTCCGGCAACAAGAGGGGAAAAATTGTATCGTCTGAAAGCACTCTTGGTAAAACTCGTGGTAAACAAAATTATTTATAGAATCACAATATTATAATTTATAAAATATAAATCGTTACCGATCCATCGTCGTCGACGCGATCGAAAATATTGTTCAATATTGTTCAATATGGTAATAAGAAATTATCAAGAACAAAAATAAAATAATTTAAAAATAATTTCTTCAACATAAAATATCTAGATAAATTTTAGCAGATAACTGAAATTTTTATCTAAGATAAATAAATAGATAACATTTAGATTTTTATTTAGATAATTATCTAGATAAGGCTCAACACTGTTTATTATTCAACTAAACTCAAATATATATAATAATATAATATATAATACATAATAATAATATATATAACCATTAAAAATGTTATTACATGTATAGTATAGAAATTTATAAATGCTTGATACTATTTCATAATATTAACACTTTTAAGAACATTTCAGTTATACTCGTATTTAACAGTTTAAAATTATCTATTAGTTATAAATTAAATACTGTTTAAATAAGCGATTTAAATAATAGGTAAATTACACATGAATAATTAGTTTGATTACTAACAGGTGGATGAATATCATGCCAGATTTAAAAGACTTTGAACAAAAATGGAACGCTTCAAATAACTTTAATCCGGATAAGCCATCATTATCTACTACTTTCGTAAAAATCGTTAATACAACACCAATAGATTTCGTATTAGCTCAGTCGACCTCGGGATAGTAAGAATATATTCTAGTTAATATTCCCAAATTAAATAAAACGGTCTAGAACGAAAATACTAAAAATAACATTCATATTTACAGTTACGAATCAATGTTACGTATACAGAAACGATATAATTTTGGCTTTCACGAAACTGCAAGTGCCGATAGTGCACTTGTTCATGGGAAGATTATTGAATTTTCATCGTATCCCGGATCTGTTTATTCTCAAGACGACTTTTATAAGATAACAAAGGCAGCATCTAAAATAGAAACAACCGTTGTTGGGACAGAAATTCAAAATAATAATCGACAATTATGGGAAAAAATTATGAAAACAGATCAGGTATGTAAAAACGAACGGCAAATAATAAAATATATGAATGTTAACTATTAATAATTTGCATCATCAAATAGGTTCTTTTGGGTGCTAGAGTTATGGCAGCAAATCGTTTAGCCAGTACTAGTAAAAAGTGGTACGAGATGTTTTCAAAAAGCAATAGCGGAACTGGAAATAAACAATGGTTGATCATTAATGTGAATAGCACATCAATAGAATTCGGAGTCATTGAACAAATGCCCGGTATTGTTAGTTACGACGAACTTTCAAATACACTTTTGTCCACCGGTTATTGGGTCAGCAGCAGTTATCCAAGTCTCGAGGTCAGTTGTTAAAATATCCATGTGATTAGATCATAAATACAGTTGATGTCTTTTTTAGGTTTCTTACTAGCGCGATCAGTCTAAAATGTATGCTTACCAACACTCCCCTCGACATATTCTCCCACAGAAGATTTGGCATTGGTACGCGCATTTAGACTTAGAAATTAATGCCCATAACAAAATCGAAACATTTCATTTTAAATTTCAAAATGTATGTTGGCGTTTTAAAGTAACAGTTTTCATATTTTAGATGAACAATACATATACGTTTTTCGTAGAACTTAAACTCGAACTAAAAGTAAGGTAAATATAATAGCAATGCGATTAAAGCTAATTACTTGTTTATTGGCGTGTGAAGAGGGTGCAAGGGATGCATACCCTGAACGCGGAAATGAAATTTATTTTCGCAATATATTACATATTTACGTGTTATATTATATTTGCCACCACAGTAAAATGTTTGCGCACACTTATATGTAATTGTTCATCTAATAATATTTTACTAATTTTAAATTCTAATCAATTACCTAGTCGATCTATCGAATAAAACATTTCGTTTTAGTAAAAGATATTCCGCACTGTTTTTTGTATTTCTTACGAAATCATAACTATTTTTGTTAAAACTTTATATTATTTAAATTTGTATTATTAAATACAATCTGAGTGATAGTTAAGATACACGAGCCAGCATGAATTTATTAAACTATCTAGTTTATCATTGTTGCTTATGAAATCATTTTCTTCTTTGAGAAAATTTAAAATTTATTGTGTTTTCCCTTTAAGGCCTTAACATTCAACATGTCTTAAGAGTATTGTAAAATCGTAAGTGTAATACATGTACAACACTTTATACTTATGAGTTTTAGTATTTATATTTTACTTCAAAAGGTGTGTATCTCATACTAATTTTGAAAATTCTACAAATTACAGCAAACTGTTTACATCAGTAGTAACGGAGTATTTAAAATGTCAGATGGTGATAATCGACCCGATCATCCGGTGGCTAATGTGTTACACGCCGGGCAACAAAATGTGACCAATTTAAATTCCTTGATTGAACTCATGCGTGGAACCGAACTATCGATGATCGGACGAAGTGACCTATTAGGCATAAAGACCAATACCATGTTTCGCCGTTTTTCCAATCGATTATTTGTGGAACAACTGACCGCTACCAATAGGCAAATTTCGGCGGAGGGTACAACGCAATTGAAAGACGATCTAATGACAATCATAATGAACAAGTTGCAAACATCCGATGAATCCGATGAGAAATTAGACATAGATAAAAGCTTTACGGGAATTTTGGATTTGAAAATTACTTCGGCATATATGAATAGTTTCATCGTGGCTTCTGGACCACCGTTCACAATGGACCCTACGGTAGTTGAACCGTTTTGCTGGTCTGAAAGTCCGATCAGACACTTACCTCATTTCGGACACCCGGATAAGTGGAATTTCAATCTAGAAAGTATTGTTTGGGTTTGGAATTGAACAAGCAAATAAAATCATTAAGCTTTCGTATTTCAACATCACACCTCTAGAAATACAGATAGACTCAATCCGAAAAAAAATAATTACACGATATTAAATTTACTTTTTTTTATGTACGCTTTTTACATAGAATTGCATCGATGATATTATCTAATTATGTGATATTAGCTAGTAGGAGAATAAATTATGTTTCTATTACAGTATAAAGTGAAAATTTTATTGTATTGTATATTAGTATTATCATTGTATAACTAAAAACTATTCATATTGCTTGATTTTTTTGAAAAACTTATTTGTATTTGTCTTTTTTTAGTACTCTATAGATTATTTAATTTATTTTCTCACTTCTCAAAATCTATTTAATTCGAATACGAATAAAATATTCTCATTTTGTAAACTTAATGTGATTTTTTTTTTTTTTTATATATATATTTTTCTAAAATCAATTTTACAAGATTAAAGCGTGATTTTTAACCGTTTCAGTTTATTTTAAAACAAGCTTAAATTAAGTTTATATTTTATGTAAACAAAAACTGTCTTGAACACATATCATAATTATAAGGAATATTTATCAAAAACTGTAATACTGTAAAATGTTGTGGATACCTAGCATATTTTAAAGTAATAAAAATGCTTTTTGGCATTATTCCCAATTCCACAAGGCGCCTTGAAAAACGATAATGGAAACCGTTGAAGTTATATAATTTATTCAAATACATGCATAAACTTTTTTTTAAACAAAAACGGAAAATATACGTCTGTACCCATAGAAGATGTAACTATTTTTTTATTTAATCCAGCAGAATATTAGAGGAAGAAAAACGAATTAAACGTTAAAATATTGATAGTATATTAAAATCGTTTAGGCACATAACTGAAACAGTTTTCCATATTATACACCTACGTGTAGGTCACTAAATCATTCATCAAAAGAACAAGAAATTGTTAAAAAAACAAAAAACAGCAAACCAACAAAACAACAAACAGCATACCTTACTCGTATTATAAATACTTTTAACCTTATTTAACATCACAAAAAAAATAACCCTGATACTTTTTCACTTTTTTTCAAAGAGGACAACGTGTTTCTGGGCTCTCGGCAATTATGTCGCTTCAGGATATCTACGGAGTTTCACTTTATGCATAAAGTTCACTCATGAGTGAACGATTTTTGATTCAATAGTAGGTAAATGGGTTCCTAATATTACCATCGACATGAAAAAAAAATGTAAATATTTTTATTATACGAATACTTCTATACCGCATTGATATAGATTAGCTAATAATTTGGAATTAATAACTGTATTTTGTAAATGTGTAGTTAAACCTACTGTCATGGTAAAATTTGGAATATTCTGTTAACTAAACGTCTTTTTTCAGACGTGAATATGAGCCGATTTCGTTTAAGTCATATGACAACTGATTTTTATTTAATAGATATTGAGAATATTTTGTATTTTTACTATGATTATATAATTGTGTAAAATAACTGTAGGTGCCTATTTTAAAGAAAATATGTTCGAAAACTACAAAAATTATATACCTAGTTGGTAGCAAAATTGTTACGATTTAAATCAATATTAATTATTTTCTAAAAGTAATAGTCTAAAACATTCAGATTTTTTATTATATTTTCATGCTTTTATCATTTGTTATTTTTTATTTGTGATTAATCAGTATTATAAAAACTTCGACAGTTTGTAATTTTTTTTAGATTTTAAATTTTACACAAGTAATCAAGTTCAAACAAACTGTTATCTAACATATAATATATACATATATATGCAATATCTATGTTATAAATATATTAAGTAGACATAAGTAATATATAATATATAATAATATTTAATAAAAATAAACAAAGACTAAAGGTCCATAAACACTCGTTAATCTTTTCTTTTTATATTTAATTAATAAATAATTAATAATTTAATTAATGAATTATCATAGTAAAAAATTGATTTTCGAAAAAGGTAAGCAAAGCGAGCAAGCATACCGAATAAATATAATTCCTTCGAATAAACAGTGCGTTTTTAACTTAGATGTTTATCATTAATTTATAATCAATCATTTACTCGTATATATTCTATACTTAATCAATTTTATAATATCCTATGTCTAACGTTAAAAATAATACGCTTGCACAATGCATGAGTGAAATACGTTTAATAATAATTTTTCACTACATGTCGTTAGAAATACTGTAAAGTAATAGGGACTTCATCACTGGATTTACCAATCATCTCGCCTCTTCGTTAGATAACCTCCCTAGGAAACCGGAAATCAGAAGTCGTTTAAATAATTTACACAGCGCGTAAAATCGGAAGTTAATTACGTACGTGATGTTGTGATACAATATTCTACTGGTATTTCCCTGTAATAATTCATTACCAATAGATATTATAATTCATAATCTATTATATTAGGTAGTTAATAAAAAATACACTCAACAACCTAGTTTACTCCATTGTCTTTATATATCTAGTTCAACTTTAAAATATACGTACCTACCTAATATCAAATATTATTTATCTCAAGACATAAAATGTTGAAAGAATGTTTTTACATTTTCTGCACCTGCAAAAACAACAACAATGACGTTATTAGACCATAGAATAATCGATGTATTTAAATTGGTAAAACACAATGCAAATATAATAGTAAACATCCATAGATACATCATGCCAGAAAGCGATAAGCAAATAAGTACTGTAGGATATGAGTAGGTACGTGATCAAGTAATTTTAAACATAAAACCATAAACGATTGGATACCTGCTTGAATCCTCGTTGATATTATTATTTTATGTAGGTATAGGTACTTAATTCTACAAATAAGCGAAGAATGCGTTTATGTAGGTGCCCGTTGCGTGTTAAACACAATTACCAATTAATTAAAAATGTAAGTATAGCATTCAGAAATTACGATTTATGGAAAAAACCGGTAACAAAACACGCATAATAATAATGTTTACTGATATGCTATATTATATACCAAGTGTGATGTTAACTATGTACACAACACGTACCGTGATCCCACGGTAAATATATTACAATCATTGTGCATGTACTAAGTAAAAAATTATATAATTACAATATTAAATAACCAGTGGCGGTTTATCTCATATATGGGCCCATGGGCAATAGTAAAAAAAGGGCCCCTTCACATTTTAATTCAAAATATTATAATTATAGTCATATAAGTTCAAATTGAAAGTAAGTATTTTTATTCTAAAATAATAAAATTTTATAAAAATCTAGTTACTCTCCTTTTGTATTGAAATTAAAATTATACATAAAATAAGATGGAATTACATATAATTATAATAATAATAATAAATAATAGTTCGATCGAAATTTCGTTTGCGTTTTTTTTTTCAACAAAATTATTAATTACTTTTTTTTAATTTAATTAATGTGCTCGATCGTTTTCAATAGATAGAATTCCAAGTCCACTTCATTTTCTTTAAACATTGGGCTCCAAAAATATTTTTTATTAATTTTAATTTTAAAAATGAACGTTCCGCTGTAGCAACTGTTACGGGAAGTGTTAAAAATATCATACGCTGTACATATTATGTTATTGTTAATGTGGGGTTCTCTATAACTAGTAATTCAATAATAGATTTTACCGATGTTCGTTTTGTAATTTCTTATTTAAAACAAGATCTGAACGACAAAATTTGACCAGCAAGGGCATTAGATAAATCAGAAATTAAAATTTTTTTTTTTGTAATTTAAACTGGTAAAACATTCTTTTAATGGTATTGTTGGATTATCTAATGTTAAATAAAATATAGGTTAGAATTTAAATTGTTCTTTCGCTGAAGTAAAAAAAATTACTGTATTTTAACCTATATTTTTGAAGATTTATCAACGCCGAGTTAAGTAAAGAAACTGCTGTGCTCGATTCTTGTTTAGGAGACTGAAGAACTTTTAATACATTACATGTAACACATATAATAATATTGAATTATTGAATTACTAACAGCATTCATTTTATTTGACAAAATACCTGGTTCATCAATTGCTCATTCTTTTTTTGTTTCTTCATGGTGTTGTTTGAAAAATGTATCAATTTTCGTTATCCGTATAATAGATCCTTTCTTTGTTTTTTTATTTTGCGTTTCACAGCACCACTTGTAAATTTTAAAGCCATTATAATTATAATTTATAAAATAAAATATTTAATTTAGTTTGTCGCGTATTATTTTGTATTGACTCTGAACAATAACACACGAGTCTACGAGAGTCATAAAATAATACACTTTACTCAGTAAATACGTAGTGATATTTTAGTCGTGTAAATTTGTAGAGGTTTATATTATATGTATACATTTTACAAAATAATATAGCCATCGGTGTGCAGAAAGGCCGATAAGCGATTTTTGTTTGGAAACATACCATAGGATTTGGGGCTTTAACCCACCAAAATTATAATTTCTCCTTCCTGAAATACTAAGCCTTTTTTATTATATAAATTGTACCAACTATTTTATATTGTTTTAGTTAAAATTATATTTTGGCAAATCATTTTTTTCATTTCTGATGCTATGTGGAGTGTTATATCCACAGATGTTTTTTCAGAATGTAAAATATTTCCTATATTCATACCATTTAAAATTTGTTAATCTATTATCTATTTTATTCGGTAAATCAACAAAAAGCCTTTGAGTTTTTACAATTTTATAAATAACTCTAAAAAATTTTTCAGTAGTAGTGAACTTTGGTTTCAATACTTTCAATAATTTGATTTCGAAACTTTTTTCTATTTGTTTTTCTTTTGATTGTAATTCTAATGCTTTAAGATGAGCGTCAAATTTTTTGTGTTCAAATATTTTTTTTCACAAACTAGACATTTAGGTTTCTTTTAACTTTCCATTCGAAATTATAGAACAAGGTTTGGAAAAGCAAATGGTTATGTCAACAACAGATAATCCTAAAATTTTTATATTTTAACAAATCTAACAACCTAATGATTTATTTTTAACTTTCAAAATTCACATACATATTGTGTAAATAAAGCTAAATTACACTATCGGCGGACGGCGATTATCATATATGGTACTATAAATGTACTTGTGCATGTTTGATGTTTATTAAATATTTTACAATGAAAAATTATGCAAAATGGTTACATTTTACCAAAATATGGTAGATACAGTAAAAATTTGTTTAAATCGAAACGGTAAACGTATTTTTTTTACG